GAAAAAAAATCTCTCTCTCTCTCTCTCTCTATTATATATATATATATATAATAGTAAAACAATCCGAATATACATATTTGATCAAATATCAAATTTCAATTTCTTTTTAATTAACATGATAATAATAATAAAAATCATTATTGAAATATTAAAATATCTTTTGATGCCAATTTGGTTTTTGCTTTCAAGAATATTTTGATATTTTTATTTTATTTTAAAAAAATTATGTATTCCCAATAAATTAAATAATAACTGGTAAATTTTATGAAAAGATTTTAATGCTTTTAATAGCAAATTTAAAGTTTTCTAGTGGAGAAGGAAAAACTATGAAAATGCTATTCCATCATATATTTTTCACAGTGTTCCTGTTTTAGCTTTTGTTAATAACTTATTTAAATAAATAAATATCTATGACTTATGGTTGCAGTCTTTTAATAATAACATGCAGTCCAAAACCTACCAAACCTGCAGTTATTAAACTCTACAGGAGTCAACTTCATGTAAAATCCGAGTTATAGATTGGTGAGTACCTCCAGGTATATAAAAAAATTATTATAAAGTTGAAATAATATATTTTAAATTTTAAAAAAGATTAAATTGGATTTTTATTAAGTTACACGTTGACCTATAAAATCAATAAAATCCGATTAAGTTAATCCTAATTAATTTTTCTTTTATATCTATTTTCAATCAAGTAACAAGTTAGCTTGATTATAAATCATCTTGTCAAGTCAGTATAAGTTTAATGTAATTATACGAGCAATGAACAATAATATTATTTTTATTTTATATAATTATTAATTTTAAAATTTATAAAATTAGTTAAAATAAATATAAAATAATTCAGATATCTATATTAATAAAAAAAATAATAACACTTTTGTTTTATGAACAGAAAAGCTTTAATTTTGCTCCATTGATGATACAAAATTCCTTGCCATCACTGTACAGCTTTTGAAAGTTTCAATCGCAAGCTTTTTCTTTTTCTTTTCCTTTTCTTATTTTCTTCAAAGGGGAGTACGGTTCTTCTCTTTCTCTGTTTCCTCGGCCTTTCTCTGTTCGATATGAGAAGCAAATAGAGCCGTTGTGCTTTCCTTAGTGCACTATTCTCAGTAGGGCAACCCTTGAAGCAAGAAATTCTCAAAAGAAGCACCGCTAGAAGTAATTATGTAAGTAATAATTAATAAAGCTAACAAAAAAGCAATTTTCGAGCTTAATTTGAATGCCTTTCTTCCTAATCTTGGTTGATCACAACAAGTCAGACTTGCTATAGAATCAAGTTTGTAGAATATAAAAAAAATAAAATCAATTTGATATAGTGATGAAATCATAAATTATGTACTTTTTATTAAATAGATCGTTTGGAGTTGCCGGACTTCTTCTTAAATTTTAACTTGTACATTTAATTTAAAAATATATGTGATAAATTTTAACTTGTGCATTTAATTTAATTTAAAAAATTTAGATTATTTTTTCTATTTTTTCTATTTATTTTATTGTCTAATTTTGGTTTTATTTTTTTATAATTAATTATTAAAAATATTAAGGTTTATAATAATTTAGCAGTTTTGATATGAATGTATTTAAATATGTTTAAAATAAATATTTAAATTTACTAATTTAATCAATTAAATATTTATTTTCTTATTATAAATGAATAAATCAATGTTCATGTAAAATTACTATTCTTGATATTTTTTATATTGGTATAATATATTATTAAAATTATCTAATTGAGATCTCTTAATTCAATATAATCATAGATTAATTGTTTAATTAAGATCTCTTGATTTACAATGTACATATATTGATATATCACATATTTATTTGTAATTAATTGTTAATGAGATGCTTGGATCTAGGAGAGTGCATGGGTTTAAATCTTATAAACTACATTTTTTTTTTGATATTTTCTTTTATTTGAAACTAGAGTATAGTAATAAAACTTGTTTCATGTAATTGGCTAAGTATTTGTTTGAAAGTATTGTTATGGTTGCTTGTAGTTATGGTTATTTTTCAAAGTATTTTTTTTAATGAAATGCATCAAAATAATATTTTTTTTATTTTTAAAAAATTATTTTTGAGATCAATGAATCAAAAGTATCCAAAACATGTAAAAAAAATTATTTTTTAATAAAAAAATTTAAATTATTATGGAACATATTCGCACCGCGTTTCTAAATAGCTTAGTGAGTTCATACAACTTTTTTGTTATCTAAAAATAATTTAAATGTCTAGAAATAGTTAAATATAATTTAATGAATTGATATATATTTTGCTATGAATTTTATATACAAAATTTAGAATTATTATATAATCAACTTATTTTTACATAACATCAAATTAATACATGGCTATGTTAATTATTATGTAAACACTAATGATAATAAAAAAAATTAGTAAGTTCATCAATTAAATTAAGTATTTCAAGCTTAAATTCCTTAAAGATAAAGAATCATTAAAAGTTTAAAATAATGTAACTCAGTTAAACTAATATATATATATATATATTAAAAAGTTATATAATATTTATTAGTAATTTATCTTTTCATTTAAAAAACTTTGTCTCCGTCCCTGATTTTATAGGGTAGAATGTCAGCAACCAATATAGAAACTTGGGTTCCTTCACTTGTATTGTATTGTAAATTTGTTAGGTTCTAATAAGTTAAGGACATGCTATTTGCAGAAAAAAAAAATCATCGACAGGATCTCATCCAAGCTTAAATAAATTTCTATCTTCAAGCCATTTACGTGCTATTTGAGCATTTTCTCCCCTTTTTGCAGAGCTTATACATGAATTCATGTTCTGAATGTCTATTAAGAAGGTTGAGTCTGTCAGGGCAGGAATGTAGATTGATTCAGAAAGGTGACTTTCTCGAGTTTAGTATCCTCTGGGGTTTAAATAGTGTTTTATATTATATTATCAGTTGTTTTTCAACGTTTATTTTATTTGAATATATATATTAAAATAATATTTGACATCAATATATTAAAACAATCTAAAATTATTAAAATAAATAATTTAAAGCAAGAAAAAATTCAAAAATTTTCAATGATGCTTTTTGAATGTTTTTCAATCAAGATAGTATATTTATAAGAAAAATATTAAACAATTTAAAATAATAAATAATTTAAAAGAGTTTTAAATTTAATAAACAAAAATATTTATTTTTAAGTTTAAAATTGGTTAATGCTTTAAAATCTATATATCTTTCTCTTAAAAAATAATAAAGTTTTAATATTTTACCTAGATGGTTCGGGGATATTTTTAGAAAAGAAAAGGATTAGAAAGTTCTCTACTTTTAATAATATTAATGAGAGACAAGTATTTCTTGTACATCATTAATGAGATAATAAATATGATAGGTCTCTTAAAAAATCTTGTATATACTTGTGAGTATAGATATGATGGTTTATCATGTTATAATATTT